TATTGATAATTATTTATCTAGAGAGCAAAATAGTCGAACTGAATGGTTTAATTCTTCACGTCCGGTTCAATTTGATTCAGAACTTGAAATGCTTTGTTCTGGTGCATTTGGTGAAGAAAATATGTATGTATTTGACTTGTTTTTTTCTCTTCCCTCAGGAAAACTATTTACATATTGATTCTATTAAAGAATTCCTCCATCACAAAATTGTAAAAATATTGAACCGATAGCTTTTTCTCCATTACCAATAACACAAATTGAAGAAGAAGAAGAACCGGATATTGAAGTACGACGTACAAAAGTTCGACAATTGATTGATGATGAAGATGAAGATGAAAATGATTCAAATAAACAATTGAGTAGTGGAAGTCATAATGTCGAGGAAAACGAAGAAGAAGAAGAAGAAGAAGAAATGGAAGACAATGAAGAATTAGTTGATTATAAAAAACAATTATTTGAAATGGAAGCTGAAGAATCAGGTTTGAAAATTGAAGAAATTCTTTTTATATATATATATTTTTTTTTGAAAAATTAACTTCATGTTTTTTTTAAAGGAAGTGAAGTTGATGAAAAAGATAAAGATGATGAAAGTGATAGTGATGAAAATGAAGAATTAGATGAAGAATTACAAAAATTCATTGATACAGCAGCTATTGAAATAGATGAAGATGAAGCTGATAATATGGCTAAAGTACATTTGTAAGTGATAGTGAATTTCATCTTAATTTCTAATTTATAAAAACAAAAAAAAATATTTTTATTAGAAAAATTAAAGCTAAAGAAGATGAACAACAATTAAAATTACTTAAAGAACAATATCTTGATTTTGATGCTGATGATGATGGAAGAAGAATAAAAATTTCGAAAGGTACAGAAAAACAAAAGTTTTTCAATAAAAAAAATCTAAGAAAATATTTCTTTTTGTTTTCTTTTTCAGTGCCGATAGATGATGATGATGATGAAGATGATGATCCTGATTATAATAGTGAACCAGGAGAAGAAGACGAAGATGATGATGACGATGATCAAATAAATATAAAAGATCGAATGAGTGAATTAGAACGACAACGTTCAATACAAGATAATCAAGTAAAACAATAAATAAATAAATAAATAAATAAATAAAATAACTTATATTTAGGCCGAAGAACTTCATCTTGATGAAGATTTAGATAGTATTGGTCAAAATAGTTCTATGTTTCAAAAAGGTCTTGCACTTAAACAAAAAAAACTTCAAAGTAAGTTATTGAAGTTTTCTACCATAATTAAACATTATTTTCAATCTCATAGATATATTTCAATTATTATTTAAAATATAATTTTAGATACAATTACAACACATATTGAATCAACTAGTCAAATAATAACTGATTCAAATACGAAAAAAACTAATCAAACACGTTCTGTTACACTCAGTTCTGTTCTATTAGCTAAACGATTTAGTTCAACACTTTTAGCACCAATTAATAAAAATAATATAACAGTAACTAACCTGAATAATACTGATGAAACAACAATAACAACAAAAAAACAACATAATCCTCGACGACATGTTTTTTCAACAAATTTAACAACAATTGGTACAAATGAAAATCAAAATCCAATTCAATCAACAACAACAATAACATCATCTGGTGAAAAAGTAAAAGATTTTTTGTTTTTTTTTAAATTTCTATATTCAATATAATTGATTTTAAATAAATTTTAGCGAGCAAATTCAGCTGATAAATCTCCGAAAACTAATATTAAAAGATTTAAACAATCAACAACAATTACAACAAAAACAAATGAATCTACAGCAAGTGTATTTTCAGCTTTAGCATTTTCAAATACACATCGTTAGAAAAAAAAAAAAAGAAACCATACATCAATATCAAATTCTCAAAAAATTTGCATGACTTGTCAGATCTATTTTCTATGTAATTAAATTCTATATCTATCAGAAACTTATTCTTTTATATGTATGTTTATGTCTTTACTTGTATTACTCAAAACAAAAACAAAAAAAAATTATTTTTTTCTTTTCTTTTTTGATGAACTTAATTTTGTATCTGTTGTTTCTTCTATATACATGTTCTTTTCTTTCACACGGTGAACAAAACCGATAGAAATTAGTCAGATAGATAAAATAAAAACTGATTCAGATTAACGAAGAAAAAAATTCGTAATGTAATCAAATAAAAATTTTAATTTTTAAATTCGAAGATTCGTTCAGATCGAAGAAGAACAGCCAAGATATCTTACTGGTGGGTGTAGGAAGCACGACAAACAAGTACTCGTCATTAGTCTTATTTATTAATGATTATTTCAAAAATAAAACAGTACTACAATTTCATCTTGAACAAGGACAATCTAAACATCTGTCTGGAGGTTTTGAATATTTTCTGAGAATGATCTGATCTTTCCACTAAATATTCTATGAGAAACTCCAAACATATACTAATAAAA